ACCAGGCTGTACAGGTGAAACTGATGCTGTAGTGATCCAGTGTCTGGAGGCTGTTTCATTCTGGATGGAGAGGAATAGATTTCAATTTAGATCTGACAAGATTAAGAGTCTGTGGCTGTTTGGCTCCTCTGTGGTGGGAATGTTTCCATTGTTGATTTTGGATGAGGTTATACTTCCCCATTCAAAACTGGTGAACCACTTGGGGGCCCTCCTCAGCCTATAGCTGATTGAAGAGTAGTTGGTAGCTATGGCCAGGCAGGTCTTTGCATGGGTTCATCTTGTACACCAATTCCACCTTTTCTTCAACTATGAGGATCTTCATAAAGTCACTCAAACTGGTCATCTCACAATTGGACTACTGCAATGAACTTCACATGAGCTTTGGGCTGCCTGGAAGATCAGCTGCAGTGTTACAAACAAAAGGTAATGGCATGAGCAGTAACAGTCACTTCAATGTATGCCCAAATATTATCACTGTTATGTGAGCTGCATTGGTTGCCAGTAGTCTTCGGGGTGCAATTTAAATTGCTAATCATTTCTTATGAAGCCCTTCATGGCATAGGCCTGACTATCTGAGGAACTGCCTCTCCCCAATTGTTTCTGTCTGTCTAGCATATTTGGACAGAGTGTCTGGTCTACAACCCTTCAATTAGATTCTTCTAACCTAAAAGATCAAATAAAGTTGCCATTTTTGTCATGGCCCACAGAAATATGGAGAATGCCCACTCTCCTGAGATTCTGGAAACCCCTTTTTTTTTTTTTTAATTTGATTTATATGCCGCCCTTCTCCGAAGACTCAGGGCGGCTTACAATGTGCTCAGCAACCTTAAGACCTGGCTCTCATCCCAGGACTGAGTTAATATGGATGTGGCCCATTAGTCAACCCCATGTTGTACTGTTATTTATATTATCTGTACTGTTTGTTGTTCTAATTGTTTTAGACCAGGCTGCCTCTTTATGTCAGTTTTAATTTTTACTTTTATATAGATTTTGTAAGCTGCCCAGGGTCTTCAGGAATCATACATGAAGCAATAGATAATCAAACAAATCACTCCAGGTGCAAATGGCCAAACTCAAATAGACAAGGTTCTAATGTTAAGAAAAGTAGAACGAAGAAGATGAGGACATGCATCAGCTGAGTGGGTGGATTTCTTTATAGTAGCAATCTGAAGGACCAGGTTGAGGACAGATTGTTTTGGGGAAAATATTAGATAGATGAGAGAGAGGAGGGGAGGGAGGGAGGGGGGGGAGAGGGAGAGGGATAAACATATATTGTACATGGGTATAAATAAACACACTGTTTATTTGTAATAGATGGGTGTGCACACACATATTGCACATTTCCAAAAAATTAAAATAGCAAGTTTCTATTATTTTTATCCAAGCTGCTCATCTTTCACAAATTTTCTGAATCATCAAAATACTGTTGTTGTTGTTGTTGTTGTTGTTGTTGTTATACATCATTATTATTAGATACATCAACAAATTGTAGCTTCCTGCAATAACACTAGTGGAACTGCAAAAAACTGTGCTACTTGGAACATCGTACATCTTAAGAAGGTACTTGGTTGATACCTAGGATGCTGGCAGCAACCTTATCAACCATTAGCACCAGTCAATAGTATTTGTAATGCATTTTTGGATGTTCAGTTGACTGAGTTTCATGTTTAATGAATAAAGTAAATAATAATAATAATAATAATAATAATAATAATAATAATAATAATAATATAACTTGTCCTTGGAGGGAATTAATCATTTAAGGCAGCCCAGGCTCATAATTGAGTCTTAAAATATAAATGCCTACCTCATAAAATCCTAGTAAATCATAAAGGGTCACACTAAAATAATTTGTATCAGTTGAGAATTGATTTAAAGTGTTAATCCTCATTCATCAAGGGAAGCCTTATGTTTGCTGGCCCAATCTGAAGATCTGCTGACAATGTTTGCTGAGGAAGCAGAAGAGAAAAAGGAGAGAGAAAAAATGAGAGATGGATATCTTCATAACAGTTATGGAAAAGTAGAAACAAGAGGCAATATCTCCCTGAAGTGAGGTTATATCCATACCCTCAAACCCCAGATTTTCATTCCGTTTCCTCTTTCATTCAGAACTAGAATTATGTAATGCAAAGTGAGGAAGTAACAGCAGGCAATTGTTTGGGAGGATCAAGGTTCAGCTCATGAGGCACAATCCTTTATGGAGTTTTCTTGATAAACTTATTGAAATATATAGGTTGTACTCAGAATTTACTGAAATTTGTAAGACTTATACCCCATCTTAACTCTCTGGAAAAGGAAGATAGGGATAATTTTCCTTACTCGGACACCAAGATTTCAGTTCTTAACAATTGAGATGTTTATCATATCGAAAATCATTTAATCAGCTTCTTGAACTTAGATATATACTTTTGTATCCAAACATTCCTAAACTTTATTTCAAAGGGTTTATAAATAATATTATTTGAATATATTCTAATTTTTAAAAGACATAACTAATTATTATGCAGTCATTCCAATACAAAAAGGGACATGGTGTCTCAGTGGCTAAACTTGTCGATCAGAAGGTTGGCAGTTCAGTGGTTCGAATCCCTAGCGCCGCGTAACGTTACGGGAGTGAGCTCCCGTTACTTGTTCCAGGTTCTGCCAACCTAGCAGTTCGAAAGCACGTAAAAAAAATGCAAGTAGAAAAATAGGGACCACTTTGGTAGGAAGGTAACAGCGCTCCATATGCCATCGGCATTTAGTCATGCTGGCCACATGACCACGGAGATGTCTTTGGACAGCGCTGGTTCTTTGGCTTAGAAACAGAGATGAGCACTGCCCCTAGAGCCAGAAATGACTAGCACGCAGGTGCAGGGGAACCTTTACCTTTACATTCCAATATGAATCAATTTTTGAAGCCTCTGTAGTATTCTTAAATTCAGATACTTAATTAGATATTTCTAATTCCTGTATGCATATTCTTGTAGGGGTTTTCTTTCATAACCTTTTTCTCTCTCTTACCAAAAAGCAACCACTTCTGCCATTTATCACAAAAAAATTATCTATTACAAAAAAATAATTTATATCTTGCTTCTCAGTGAAATAGGTCCTCTTTTGCTTTCCTGCTCAGGTGGCCTCATTTACTCATTTGCCTGAGTAAATCAGAACTGTTTAAATGTTCTGAATTCTAAACTTGAATTATGAAAATAAAACAGCTGGGTTCACATATTATCCCTAAACAAATCAACTTATACAGTATCAATATGATGGACTTGTTTATCACACCATTCTAAAATAATGACTTGATCCCTATAGCATGTTGAACTTCATATTAGTTATGTCTACTGCATTATGCAAAGCCCAGACTCTGTACCTGTTTATATATTTTTGAAGTACATGTATTTATTTATATATTTATTAGATTTTTAAGGCAGCATGCCTAACAGTAATTCTCCCTCCTATGTTCCCCATAACAACAACCCTGTGAGGAGGGTTGGAGAATGAGAGAATGACTGACCCAAATCACCCAGCTGATTTTCCATGCCTAAGGCAGAACTAAAACTCACAGTCTCCTAGTTTCTAGACCAGGACCTTAATTTTCAATGCCTAATTTAAATCACATCAATTTTGATCTAAATACCGTGAGACAATATCTAGATGCAATCTATATTCCTATAGACTGTAATATGCCTAGTCAGTGCTTGCTTTAAGGAGTTGCTTCTTAAGGCAATTCCAGTATTTAGCATGTGGTAGCTCTGAATGAAACTGTGCTCAGATCATGTTCATGGAATTGGAAGGAGAAAACAGAAGAATTTTGCCTTTGAAACTGGATGCTTCTTTTTATAACTTGCTCAAAAATTCCCCTGCTGCTCCCAGCTACTCCACTCTTATCCATTTCTCTACTAGCAAATAAATATGAAATCCGTCAGTTCTTCCAGCTGAGAGGTGAAAGAAGTTGCAAATCGTACAACACGGTTACCTTCTAAAATTTCAATAATAGAAGAATAAGAGTTTTGTCTTCTAGAGTACCATCACAGTATGTGTTTGTATGTGTATAATAGTTGAAGGTGGGATGGGGGGTGGGAGTAGAGAGTTAGGACAAAGGAAATGCTTTCAAGCATTTAAACATGGAAGAACAATGGGAGCTTAAATATAATTATGATGGAAAGACAAAATGATGGAAACAATTCAAGCTTGCCTAGAAATTTCCATCTCTGACCTTGACACACCTTCCTTTCTGTCACTAGGTTGGAGAAAGAGAGTGTGATTATGAAGTAGTGAAAAAAGTGCACTCTGCACATTCTCTGACATGTTTTGGAATTACCTCCTTTATTCCCAGACTAAGTGTTGGCTTTCTAACAGGTTTAAAAGGTAGAACAGGTTCAGATTATTTTTCAGGATTTATTAATTTGTATATGTATATATATAATCAATATTAGGGAGAGAGGTCACTCACATTATAGGAAATTCAGCTGACATGAATGGTGCAAGGATCTTTGATTTGTCAAGAGTGTAGTTTGGCATTTTGATTCCAGCTAATAAATCAAGGAGAAAAACACCAGCCACATCATAACATTAAGATAAGTGATAAGACCCATTCTGAAAATTTCAAAGCAACTTCTTCTCCCTACACACACACACACACACAGAGAGAGAGAGAGAGAGAGAGAGAGAGAGAGGGAGAGAGAGAGAGAGAGGGAGAGAGCAACATAAAAACTGATTCATTCCCATCCAACCAGGCAATAAATGATTGAAAAGAGCTGGTCAAATTTTTCAGCATGGATAATAATTATAACATCAGTAATAATACATGCATGCCTCTAATTTTGATCAATGTGGGTTTTCAATATTATTTTAAAAATATACCCTGAGCATATGAAATTAAGCAGAAGAGAGTGATTCAGATAAACTTGAGTCCTGGCATCTCTAATTTCAAAACTAATCACTTTTACTTGATTGAGTGATTAATTTTTCACATTTACAATACTGTACAAAATGCCTTTTCCCATGGCAGTTTATAACTATCAATAAAACACCATTCATTAAGATATACAACACTTATAAACTTGGCAATAAATAAAAACAGCATTAAAATAGCATGAGGACTGTTTCAGAGTTAATTAAAAGGTCTGGGAAAGTAAAAGTGCTGAAAATAGAAGGAATGAAGTATCAAGAAAAATCTCTTCAAGAAAAGCATTCCTCAGATAGGCTACCACCCTCTCCAGCTCAGATGGCTACAGCAGGAGACATGCTATATTATATATATAGCTTTGGGAACAATATCAGAACTTCTGAACTGGGCCCAGAAATAGATAAGAGGCTAATTCAAATGGAGAGACTTAGCAGTGGAAAGTAGCAATCTCAATTTCAGCCAACAGTTGTACAATATCCACTTAGATGTTCTAGGCAAGGTTTGCACAAGTCTAGGTTAAAGTAGGATGTATTATTTTGTAGCTGAGTCTCTTGTAGGAATTTATTCTTTTCAGATGTTCTGCAAAGTAAAATATCACTCAAAAACCAAGTATGATTTATTGATTTAATTGAACACAGCACATAACAAATAGACAGCAATTATATTCTACAAATCTGAGTTTATAATTTAGTTTGCTGCATAAACCAATCCTAGTGCTTATGATATCATTAGTGAAAGACCTGTCATCATAAAGGAGGGAGGCTCAGGGAGAGGGGCCTACTGGATCTCTGTCAGCAAGCTCCTAGTCACCCACTCTTTCCAACTGCAGTGCTTTCATTTTTTTGCAGGAATGAATAGCAGTCATTCACTTATATAAAAGTAAAGGGGAATTTCTGAGGTAAGCCTGGTTCTTGCCCTTGGTGACCCCAACCACTATGGATCAAGCCTGTTTCTTTCTGCAGAACAACATCTTGGACTCTCTTTCTTGGCTGGACTAAAGCAAGGCAGAATGATGGAAGGAGAGATAGACAGACAGACAGACAGACAGAGGATATCTATCAATCTATCAATCTATCAATCTATCTATATCTCTAACTTTATCTCTCTCTATATATCTATATCTATCTATCTATCTATATAATACACATACAATTTATCTGTGTGTGCACACCCACACCTATACATACATGTGTGTGTGTGTGTGTGTGTAATATTTGCTTTCTACTTCCTATTCAAAATCAACAATTATTTAAGACCAGAGTAAACAAAATATACCATATCAAACACACCCTATGCTATTGCACCCTACCAATCGTATTGGTCTGTATGGTACAGTACAGTACAGTACATGGTTACAAAAAGCTCAGAACGCCTAGGTTAGGGCTCTGTTACAATTAAGGACATTTGTGAACTTTTCTCACCTTCCCTGTAGGCTTGACCTCTGATCCGTTTGTTGAAAGCCTGTCCCTGAATATGTTTGGCGTTCTCTTGTTACCAGCTTGCAGTTTGTTCCCCCACCCCACCCTTATAGCCCAAAATAATTTTTCAAAGCAGACCTCTTGCCTGGAGTGCTGATGGACTGGCAGGCCTTGGAAAGCATGGGTTGTTGTGTAGGAAGACCTATGCATGACCCCATTCTTGGACCTCTGGACAGCCCAAGCCTGTCCTTTGGTGAATTCATTTAGGGTTGAACTTTCGGTGAACCAAAGCTCAAGAGGAAGAGGAGGTAGCAGGACAAGGCAGACAGAAGAGTAGAACTCTAGGCAAACCCATCAGACCTGAGTAAATATTGAATGAAACCACGTGAAGATTTGAAACGGAGCTGTCAGACTAATATGTAAACTGAAGAAAAGATAGGTATATTTTTCTGAGCCACAAAGAAGACACCAGTTCATTCTAAGTACAGCAAGGCTAGGCTCAAACCTACAGGGGAATTATTTGCATCCCTGTATGTTGGTGTGGGGAGTGAGTCATGGGATTTAATTTGGGTTCCGCTAAAGAATTGCTGTGCGAGCAACAAACAAGAAAGTAACCCTGCACTTTGTCTTTTGATACTTCCCTGCAGTTGCAAGGGCCAGAAACGGTCAGCCGATTTATTTAATCTGATGAAGTAACAGACACATAGAATTATCAGTGTTATGTTATCTTAATCAAACAGAACCAGGGGTTTCAAAAAGGATTGCTTTCTTGAGGAGATACATTTACTGCTTAAACAAAAAATCAGCACATGAGAAATTTCATAGTATTGTGATCAGTGTTAGGAGACATCACTTCACTTATATTTTAATACATTTTGTTTTCTAGATAATCCTCAACTTACAATCACAATTGAGCCCAAAATTTCTGTTGCTAAGCAAGGCAGTTGTTAAGTGAGTCATTGCCCATTTTATGACCCTTACGCCATGGCTGTTAAATGAATCACTAGAATTGTCAATTGAGTCATTCTATCATTAAGCAAATCTGGCTTCCCCCATTGACTTTTCTTGTCAGAAGCTCCCTAGGAATGTTGCGAATGACAATCCCAAGACTCCAGGATGCTGCAAGCATTGCAAATATATACCAATTGCCAGGCACCTGAAGTCTGATCATGTGACTGTAGGGAATGCTTCAATGGTCATAAGTGTGAGAACTGGTCATAAATCATTTTAACTTTGAATGGTCATTAAACAAAAAGTTGTAAATCGAGGATTACCTGTAAATACATACATTTTTCTCCAAGTTTACTTAAATTTTCAGGCAAGTACAATTCATACCAGCTTTCTGCAATGTCTTCCCTTCCAGATGCATTAGGGCTGCAATTTCCAGAATACAGTAGTTCTCAGTTTATGACTACAATGGAGCCCAAAATTTCTGTTGTTAAGCAAGATGCTGGCTAAGTTAGTTTTGTTCCATTTTACGACTACTCTTGCCACTGTTGTTAAGCGAATCACTACAGTTGTTAAGTTAGTAACACAGCTGTTATGTGAATTTGGTTTCCCCATTGGCTTTGCTTTGCTTGTCAGAAGGTCACAAAAAGTGATCACATGACCCTTAGATGCTGAAACTGTCATAAATATGAGCCAATTGCCAAGTGTCCAAATGTTGATTGTGTGACCACAGAGATGCTGAAATGGTTGTACATGAGAAAATCAGTGATAAGTCATTTTTTCAGGGTCATTGTAACTTTGGTCGCTCACTAAATGAATGGTTGTAAATTGAGTACATGCATTGTGCATGATGGGATTCAATAGTCTTGGCACATTCAGTTGAGGAGGGTTTCTATACCCTATTCTCATGATCACAATGGAAGTAAAACTTGACATTTTCTAATGGAAAAAATGTTGAATAGAGAAAAATTCACCATCCTTAATAATTCAATACAGTCTTGATGGAAGTTATTTGCAATCTAATAAATGAGTAACATGTGTATATTTATTGTGAACCACATGCCATCTGAATGAGCTCCAAGCATTATAAATGTAGAGAAAGCAGTTCTTCTCTGGAAAGTGTTGCAGCTAAATCAACTAAATTCCAATTTCCAAGTTAGCTTCCACTCTTAACAAAGATATTCTAGGGTACCTTATTTCACTTTCTTCCAAGTTGTCCTGCAGAAACATACACATTTCTTCTGATAAATCTTTTGGTAGAAATGTGGTAGATATGCATAATTATATGTTTTAAGTATGACACTAAATGAAAAACTAAATTTATTGGCATTTCAGAATTCAAATCTGAAGACATTTCAGTTTGGAAATTAATGAAGAAAGTAATCATTACCAAAACATGTTTCTGACAGACCTGGCTCAGGAGAAGCTGTCAACTCAACACCTCCTATTTGAGGGACAGAACTGAAGGGCTTACAGATAAAATTGACTGTAGTACCAGAGACAGGATAGGTTCTTGCTCAAAACTGCCTCTCATCACATATAAACCTGCCTTCCAAGTTCTTGCTACATCCTCCAAAAACCCAATATGTTAACTAAGGCAGCCATGTTTCTTCTTTTATGATAGACAAGTGCCAGTTTTCTTTAGCCATCCCCCACCATTCTCAGAAGATATGGAAATAACTCGTGTTCTGAAATTCCTTCAAGGAAGGCTACCAGATCCAAGCAGCCAATGTCTGGACAGCAGCAAAGAGCTAATGTTCTACTTGCTGCCATGTAGGGGTCACCTGGATTTTTTCAACCCAAATCTGGCACCTTAATTCAACCAACTATAACATTCATAATGAAACACAAGAAATAAGGTGTCTTTGTCCAAGATGTAGTCAAGGAAGTAATAAATAAAAGTGGGCTAGAAATAGCTGTTATTTAACAAAATGCATTTTACACAAGCAAAAAGTTATTATTTTCATCAACTGTCAGGCTGATCAGAGACTTGTTTAAGGTTAGCTCTTTGATTAAACTCTAAGGAGTTTGCTTTAAGAAACAGCATATAAAGTGACAGTGTGCAAAACACCATTTCTCATTATGCTTGCCTGTTGTTCAGACAAACTGTCACAAACACCAGAAAAAAGCTGGGAAGCTAAACTTTTAGTTCAGAGAAAAAGTTATGTTGACCAAAAGTCCTCTCTTTCTTCCCTTTAAATGGGAAGTGGTTTCCTGAGATCAAAAGGCTTCACATGGCGAGAACAAATGCTTTAAGGCAAGGAAGAGAGAGGAATCCCACCAAGGGCTAAGAACAGATGTCACTGACATACTTGCCAGGGTGCCACACAGTTTCTTGAACGTCTTTTCTTGCTCTGCCGCTTTTAAGGAAATGACTGGAAACTGCTCAACATTCCTTCTGAAGATCTTCATGACTAGAAGAACCAGCCAAATCACTGTCATAAATTATTTAGAAGCCTTTTGAGAGGAAGGAAGGAAGGAAGGAAGGAAGGAAGGAAGGAAGGAAGGAAGGAAGGAAGGAAGGAAGAAAGAAAGAAAGAAAGAAAGAAAGAAAGAAAAACAACCTGGGAATTTATTTTAATTTGTAATAATGAAGGAACTGCAGCTGCTTTGAGAAAGACTGTGGTTTTAACAGTTTAACTCAAGATCCATGTCAGAAATGTTTGCCTTACACATTCGTGCTCACACAGATATCTATACACAAAATCCCTCCTGTATAGCACACAGAGCTACTTAGTGAGTATGGCGGTCCTATTTCCCCCATTTTCATTGTTATTTTAGGAAAGAGGAAAACAGGAATGGGAGACATAAGGCAGGTGGTGAATAGAAAAGATGAGATAATAAATAACGAGAAAATAGATAAAATGAAAATGAGAGGTATTAGTGAGATGAGATGAAGCAATAATACTATGATGGACAAAAGGGCAAAGAAAAAACAAATGAAGATAACTGGATGGAATGCTTATGAAAATGGATTTTAACTGAATTAATAGAAAAAATAAATAATGGGCAAAAAGAAGGCCAGATCTCACAAATAATGTATGGAATTGTTTAACAATTTAAATAAATAGAATTCAAGGATTTAGAATAATTTCAGTAGCTTAATAGTACAATTCTGTGCAGATTTATTCACATGGAAATTTTGCACATTTAATGATCTAATACTCATAGGTAAATGTACATAATTCATAATTATGTACATAATTCCTCCTTCAACAATTAACTGGCATTCTTTGATCATTGTGTTACGTCTGGTCTTTGACCAAAATAAAAGATTCAATTAAATTCTATGACCACTGTGTTCTTTTCTAATGTTTCCTCTGCGGGGTGTTTTGCTTCTGTGTTTGTGTATGTGTGCCTGTTTGTGTGTCTCTTGGAGTTACAGAACTCTGTTTATGTCTCTATGTCTATATTAGCTACATTTTATGAAAACAGATGTAGGAGAGATAGTGTGATAGTGTAATGTGCTGGATTAACCTTGGGCCAATCCCTGTTTGTCAACCTAGCATACCTCAGAGGAATAAATTATGAAATCAAGATGGATCAGAAAGGTATTTGTATCATTTTGAGCTCCTTTAGAGCTAAAAAAATAATAATAAATAAGGCTTGAATCTGAAAGACAGAGATTAAGAAAAGCAGTGGTATTTAACAGAAGACAAGAGCTGCTATCTGGAGAAAATGGAACAGTGACCCTGAGACTGAATGGAGACAAGAGGACAAGAAAAGATTCTCTCCAGTTTTGCTGCTTCTGAAGGAAAGGAAAGCTTGACATATGCAAAAGAAAAAAGAAGAAAAGAAAAGAAAAGAAATACCAGCAATTTCCTTTGAATTTTAGATGAAGCCCAGAAGAGTTGTTTTGTATCTGGACAAGCTGACACAAGCATGACCTTTTCTAGCTACTTGATTCTATCGGGCTTTGTAAAAAAAGTGGTTAACAAATCAAAACCATGAGTAGATGAGATCTAAAGTACAGTGTGGAAATCCATCTTCGTCAGTAACTTTATCTACATTAGAAGTTTTGCTGAAAATGGAAGCCACTTAAAGTGAGAGAAAGACAAAAGAAACTAACACCATTTTCTGTCAGAGTGTACAATTTTAAGGCCCCAGGGCGTTGTGTAACCCTCAAGCCCTCTGAAAATTTACTAAATTGTCATTCTTAATGTGGCCAAGTGGAAATACTATTAAATGATCATAATGCTTATACAGCATGTTATTTTTACATTTATTAAATCAAGCCATTTATAAGCATTTGTCTTAATTGACAAACTATTTTGTAATAGTTCTATTTTGGGAAGTGCAACTCCTAAGCAGTCCATTTAAAGACCAGAAATGTCTTCTGTAAACAATACATTGTCACTGAAATTATTCTTGCTTTCTGATGTTTGTTGGTACTGAAGGTACAGTGATTTTAGCCTTGGACATGACCATAGGGATACTTTAAGTATATTTCTTAATTCACATTCAAAATGTGACATTAACTTTTCTATAGTTGGAAACCTCCATCCCCACCTCACCCTCTTGAGTAAAGTCATTGATTTCTTCCCTAAAGTTTTATTCACATAATAGTAGCACCATAGTGAATGCTCCTGAATAAGCTGTTAATATCTGCCATTGAGTCACAGTTCAATGACTGAGTAAATAAATGATCCAACTTTAATTCCTAGCACCTCTAGTTAATATAATGGAAGGCAAACCTGTGGATCTGCAAATGTTGCTAACTTGCATTAGTCACAGAGAACATGGCATATGGTCTGGGATGCCAGGAAGCATTTAGAAAGTCATACATTCCCCACTGCTGGGACAGACAACTTTGGGTAAGACACGGAGGTGTATGAAAAATCTCAATTCATGATATGGCTGTGCTAGGAATGATGGTCCCCAAGCAAGATACTATCTAGGGAATTAAGATATTGGGTCTGTTTTCATTTGTTCAGTTCAACATTTTTTTCCTTAAAATACAAATGAAAAACGTACTATACTGCCTTTGCTCCTGCTTGGTAAGGGGTGAGATGTACACACATGGCAAGTGGGGACCCCCAGGACAGTGCAACTCACTTTGTTGCCTAGTGATCTGGCCTTTCCTGAGATATTGGTACTACCCTGAAAAGGGAGTGGAGTGGGTGAGAAAAGAGCAGATAAACAAATCATTAGTTCTAAGTCCTGAGAAAAAAGTAAACTTTATTTATTTTGAGGTAGTTTTAGTTCCAAATATAAAGCATGGGGAGGAGACACTTTCTTAAAAGTCTAGATTATTGCATTAGAATCTAAATAATACTACTAATTAAAGGTAGCAATGAAAAAAATCAAGTTTTTAAGTTTCATTCCAAACCAGCCCCCCAGCCCCCAATTTGCTACTTCTTTACTGGTTTTTAGCATTTTCAACCAGTATGAAAAGCAAAATATGGAGGAAGAGTATTGAAAGTTAATATTTGTAGGACTGGGGGGGGGGGAATCCAACATCTCTGCTCCATTTCCACCCACATTCATAGGAAAAAAGGATAGGTTTATAGGGTAAATACAATAAATAGAGGAGAATCTGTTAGTATACATAAATAGATTCAACCCAAATTCATCCTGCATAAATAAAGTCTTAAGTAAGATCTCAAAGGGTTGGAGCCATATTTAAACTAAAATTAGATATGACTAACAAATCCCATTTATTTCATAAAAATCAAAAGCGACATCATGATATACATAACTGGGAGATTCCTGCCTTTTATATATAGTATATGAAGCAAGCACTGCTTTATAAATCATTTCTGCTAATTATAAAGTGAAATTGTTTTCCAATTTAATACATCAAGTAAAACAATTCTCTTCCAATAGTGAGTGTCTGAACGTGAACTAGATAGCTACTGCCTCCCTGGAGAAACTCTTCCTTTGCTTTATACTTGCATCCCTCTAACCCTTGATCTGTTTGTGCAGCAAGCTGTTTCACAGGCTGATAGATTGTAAAGCATCTTTACAGGTCAAAATATGATTCTCCAAGGTGGGCATATCCTTCATCCTTTTGGTCATCAGTTTGGAAGAACACTCCCACCTTCCCACACACATGAATACACTAGCAATAAGGATGCAGTCCTAGACACACTCTCTCTAATCCTGTTAAATTCAGTGAGGCTTCCTTCAGAGCTGACATGCTTAGTGATGCAATGCTCCAGTCATCTGAATAAGTGTCATTGAAGGAAATGGGACTAGCTTAAATATACAAAGATTTGGACTGAATATCAGGAAAGAGAAGAAAAGATATTTTGGGATTCTCCCCTCTTTGAAATTCTTTGCATATCAAAGGAATCTATTGGAGTCTCCTTTCAGGTTGAAATGGATTCACTGAATTATTTCAAACCAATTCTTTGGGGCGGGGGTGTTTTTTTTTTTTAGTAAAGTAAATGAAGTCCAAAGGAAGGAATTTACTTCCCTAATAAGAATGTGTAGAATTTGGGGGTTTCATCTTATTTTATTTGGCTGCTGATGGATTTAAGCAGATTTCAATATTTGGGTTCCAAAACCTGAGACCTGAAGCATATCTTCTCCAAAATGGTTAATTTCTGTAGAAAATCTTAGTGCTTTCTACATGTGTTGAGATATGACATCCAAGAAGTCCCAGGCATTATGGCTCATCTTCTAATTTGAAGTCAGTGTCAGTGAACTCAGTAAGGCTTGTCTCTACTCAGTCCGTAGGACTGGCATGCACACCTGCAGATTTAAGGTTTCCTTTCCCCTCCTCCAAGAGTTATATCCTCAGGCTCCTTGGAAGGAAGTTTTTCAATGGCTGGTTGAGAAACCTGTGAGTTTATAGGTTTGCATGTTTCTAAATTAATCTGAATTAATTGCCTTTTCCTTTGTTTTATCTTAAAACCCACTTAAGAAGGGATGAACTAACTAAGACACTAGTGTATAAATAGGGCATTCAGGCATATTCCCACAATCATACTCTTGATGCAGTGATGGTTGTGAATTTAGAACTTTGGTGTTGGCTTCAAAGGCAAATCAAAAACAACACATACTTTTTCACTTCCCTTTAGTGGATTTTTCATTCCCACAGTCAGTATGGACTAGCTAATACATAAAAGCAATTTCAGCCAAAAATTAATGTGGATATGTAATAGTTAAGATGCAGAGGTATCATCTTCTTCTAATGCAAAATTGAAGTTGGGTGGAAGGAAAATTATTTGTCCAAGGCCATTTGTTTCTCTTCTCTTACTATACATCTCTATTTTTTTTTAAAAAACTAGTTTTTTAAAAAATTACAGTAGTGAGTATTTTTTTTAAAAAAAATACTCACTACCGTGAGACTAGTAAGAATGGATATAAAACAAACAGCAAAAAAGACAGACAAAAATAATCTTATCTCTGTAATTAAAGTCTCTTGGCTCTTTATGAAAAAAAAATGTTATTCCCTCCCTCCAAATTTCCTATTACTGAAAGTGTATTTCCTAACTTTCAGGGAGTAGATGGAAGAAGGAAAAAAATTGTCCCTGAGATGTTAGATGCAGTAAACTAAAATATAGACTGTTCCGGTTCTTATGAGAATAAGAAATAAAAGAAGGGCATAGCAAGACATAGAAGAGAGAAAGGTTTAAAGCTCGGTAGAAAAGTCCCTCTTCTATTTCATGCTTTTAAAAAGGAAGGAGGGGAAGAAGGAAAATGAGATATTTAAAATGAGGTATTATAATACCTTGCTGGTATTCTAGTGATGTTACATTCACATTCTTGCTACTCCGAAGCTAGAAGTAACAAAGAAACATATAATATATGAATCTGACAGCAAAGGCGTAGAAACACAAGCTTAAGGGGGGAGAACTTCAAAATCTACATTTTATGAGCAATCTTATTGGAAGTCGTTTGTATAATTGTAACTAACTCTTGAGTATCCAGAAAAAAAAATTGTGCAAAAGTTCCTATATCTCTACATTCGAAAATACGCGTTTCTTTTTCGTAATAGGGGCGCGTGTGCATAGATATCATATGCGCTTGTGGTTCGTGGTTCTTTCGGTGGGTTTGTCTTTTTGGGCCCATAAGTTTAGGGCCGTCTATTCACTTTACAAACCGAGCAGCTGCCTCTTTGAAAGGGGAGGTTACTTCGGTGGGCAGGACTCGACCTAACTAGCCCTCCTTCCCCTTCAAGAGGACACCGAGCTCGGAGAAGCTTCGGGAGTGGAGGGCCCGCTGGATCTGTCCGACGACGCAGCCTCGCTGCTTTCCTTGGTAGAATGGCGGAAAGCCGCCGCGGCAATGGGATGGGGACCAGCCAATCCTTCCTTTTCCCTCTTCTTCTGTTTCATCCTCCGATTCTGGTACCAGATTTTTACCTGAGTCTCGTTCAACTCCAAAGTAGCAGCGATCTCCACCCGCCTAGCTCGAGTGAGATACTTGCTGAAGTGAAACTCTTTCTCCAGTTCCGTCAGTTGTTTGGTGGTGAAATTGGTCCGGATCGTGCTGGCATGGACGGCTAATCCATAGTCAGTCACTTTCGCTGCTGGGATGAACCAGAAACGGAGAAAGAAACAATCAAACCATTGGTTAGAATTATTTCCAAAATAAACCAGCAATCAGCTGATATTAATTAATATCTGATATAAACCCAGATAGAAGCAGGTATGTGCCTCGCAAAAGTCCAGCCCTTTGAAGACGTTGAGTGGCACCTTTTCCTTTACTTTACTTAGTAACCTTTAGATGTATTATATTGTACAAGCTGACATGGAAATCGTGATACAACACACCTTGGAAGGCATCAACTTGAAAAGCTTCCTCTATATATTGTGGGCATAGTTTGAGCCTTTCAGAAATGGGGGCTTAACTTTCATGGCAATCCATTCACTCCCCATTAAGATTTTTCAGTCCCTAATTCTAGGTTTAGGAAAGATTGTGCTCTGATCTGTATGATACAGATTGTGTTCTGATCTTTATATTTATAAAAGAATTCCTGCAGGGTTTTGGCACAAAATGTTATTTGTATTCTAGATCAGTCAGTTCTCTGTCGGGCTGATTTGGAATGAGTAGGGAAATAACCTGATCTAGGAAAAGATTGGACAATAAAGTTTTTTTTAAATCTCAGATCAGGTTGATAAGACCTTCACCCCCTTCAGCCCACAACACTAGAGTCTTTTTAATGCCCTGGAAAAAGACACTCTGAAATGTTTAGCCTTGAAAGAAACTTCTGCCTCTATTTAAAAGTTTTTATCCTAAATCCTGATCTGACAAGATTCCATATGTTTCATGCTGAGGCAACAGTATGTTGTGTCTATAGAAAGACATTTCCCACCAACCTTATTATATACTAAAATATTAGGAAGGAAACTCAGCTTTACTGGTAGTTGATGGTCCAATATCTTATCTATGATTGGATTTCTACATAGCAATAAGCCATGTAACAAGTCTTTGTAAACCCTCAGTTCACACAAGCCACTACAATATCAATACAAAATAAATTGCACTTTGACTTATGTGTGAACTCACCTACCTCACTCAAACTGTTTCAACATATTCTGTACAGACCAGGGTCTTTCTTAACTTCAATCCCAATTTCTGAATTGAGGGACATTAGTTCTGTTCCTGATTTGCCTCCCCTGCATCTGATCAAAGTTGGGTAAAATGAAAAATCTGGACCAACTCTAGGGAGGGCCAAGGTCTAAAATAAATCCAATTCATTTCAAAGGGGAGGGAATCATTGATTACTGTATGGCTTTTGAAGGATTCAAAAAGCAACCCAAATGATGAAGGTGATGGCATAAAAATTAATCTCAATCAACTCCTATTAGAGGACCCTATTCAAAGAATAAGCACCTAGTAAAATCCTAATTGGGTTGGTCTTCCATGAACAAACAGCTCTTCTGCATGTATGTTCATCTGTTTCATGCAAATGCTTTTTTCTGGCTTTTAATCCCTGGTTAATAATGGTAGAAAGAAGGTTTCCTTCATCAGGGCTGGGCCCATCTAGGACAAGGATTCTGTTCTTGTGAATAAAAAGACAACTCTGATTTTCACTAGGAAATATAAGACAAACTAAATCTCCCCAGTGACCACATTTCTTTGGGTAACCATGATCAAAATATGGAAGCAGAATCAAATGAGAGCAGCTATTGTAACTCCTGTATGTTCAGAAACTCTCCATTTCCCAAACTCTAAATCAAGATTAGACAACCTTCTGCCTCCAGGTGTTGGGTTTTTTTGGGGGGGGGAGGTGGGACTTCCACTGTAATAAGCCTCAGTCAGAATTGTCAGAAATGTTGAGAATTCTACAAAGCATCTATCATTTGCTTGCAGTTGCTCTGATCTACCTGAATTTTTTTACTGATTCAACAGCTTTGGGAAATATTATTTTTTCTGCCTTATCTATCATATTACAAAATAAATAATACAATGGCATTAGCTGCCCCATCACAGCACCATAGTTTCTGGAACTCTTTCACCTATTTTTTTGTGAATTCACATGTATCATTATACCTCCATTTCTCTCTTCCTGCAGTTTGAACCAATTACTTCTAAAACTATCAATTGCACAATCACCAAATGAGTCTGGCCTTCTCTTTTCCTTTTGGCAATTCTGGACTTAGATAAGTGTTTCCCATCTCTACTATTCTCAAACTGGCCTTACTTCCTTCTTTCCTCCTTCTTCCTACCACCCCTCCCTCCATCTTATGGTTTGCCTTCTCAGACCAAAGTTAATGATGGAGTGACATTCCTGCTTTCCAGGAGCAGATTCTCTTTTCAATAGCAGCCATCTCAGAAGATGTCTCTGGAGTCTCTAGTGTGAGGTAGATGAGGGAATCCTGAGCCAGTGCAGAAGCCTCATTCCCACTTGCTTCCTTTGTCCCCTTCCTAATCCCCTTTTTGATAGGATCCTGATAAGGCAGCAATATGAACATTCACTCATCTCTCTGGGTGTTCAGGTGTGTTAGAGATTTACCTGTTCGGGGAGGATTCCTTTTCACTTTCATCCAGTCGAAGGTCTGGCTGGTGGTAGCAGTGGCGGCAGCAGCAGCAGCAGCCGCCGTGGGACATGGATGGGCCCGGCAAGCTCTCGATTCTTTGTTCTCAGATAGAGGTGGGGAAAGATTGCCCAAAGCCCCTTGCAAGTAGCCCCCCTGATCAGAACCATATTGGTGTGGTGGGAATTGGCCCGGGGTGGCTGCACAAAAAGCATCAGGTATACTTCCCACTAGATGGGAAGAGGAATGGGAGGAAGCTGCAGCCAAGCTGGCAGGGTAGGCCGAGGTCTGAAAATAAGCTCCATCCGTCTCTGGGGAGCCATGGTAGAACTGAGGGTTAGTGAAGCTGGGGTTGCAACCCGAGTTTGCGTATCCCCCTCCTCCTCCTTGGTGAGAGGAGCTGGTGAAGGAGATACCAAGGCTAGCTGGGCTGTGAGGAAGAGGAGGAGGGTAGCTGGGGCCCTGTTGGTGGTGGGCATTGGGGCCAGTAGCACCCACCCCTATCACCCCAAAGCGCCCATCTGGCTGATAGCTGTCACAGGCTAGAGTGGTACCTGAGCAGGCTGGGTAGGAAGTGGTCCCTTGGTCGAGGTGCTGGTACTCCTTGGGCGGGTAGGCGCTCATCCCACGGTTACAAATTGCATAGTCTAAAAAGAAGTTCATTCTAGGTATTGTTCCTTTGCCAATGATGGAAGAGGGTTGCCCTGTTTTATGGGGATTCCTTCTGCCCTACAACCTTTAGATAGTATGTCAAAGTTAACCAGGGGGGGAAAGGGAAGAGAGAGAGAGAGAGAGAGAGGGAGATGAAGAGAACCACCCTTCCCATCTATGGATCTCCAGGCTTAAACCCCCCCTCCTTCCTGAAGCTTCAGAATGGGGGATGGGAGAAGGTGGTGGTGGGGTGGAAGGGGATCTAAACCACGTGGTTCCCTTCAAGCCCAATGAGCAAATGCCTCCCAAACTTTGTCAGATATCTGCCATCATCCATCAAGTCCTTGGCATTTGCATGACAAAGGGACTTCAATCAAACTTTTCTCCATCGATCTGATTAACAACATGGATACGTCAAAAGGTTTTTCCCTCAAAGACTTTGGAAGAGGGGTAGAAAAAGGAAGTGATAGAAAAGAGGTTGGGGGAGGAAGAAAAGAAGGGGAAAGTTAAAACTATTCAAAGTCTATTCTATGTGTTAGAAAAGACGGTGACAAAAATCATCAGAACTTTTCTCCTTCACTGAAACAAAAAGAGCTTTCACCCCATTTCTGCTATAAGGGACTCACCTAACAGAGAAAGAAATGTATGTGTGTGTGAAACAGAGTAAGAGGTATTGAAGACTTCTTTATGATAGAAAATGTTCCTTTTCCTCATTAAAAAATAATCACTGAAGAGATACTTAAACATTTATGGGGTTTGCTTAAAATGTCTTTTGCCTTCTCTTAAAAAAATCCAAATAGCTTTGCTTTGCATATCGCCTTTGTGTCTAGAAGCAGAGTTCTTAAGAGCAATTTAATTCAATCAACATTCTAATGAGTTGTGAAATAAAGTTAGAAACACAATTGTGTTTTGTTGAAAGGGGAAAGGAGAGAAAGGCAAATGAAATTGAAATTCGATCTACCCTATCCATCTATTAGTTATTTATTTGCTCTGACTAGCCATCCATTTTCCATCTCTACCCCCTGATATCATTTGCAATCCCCTTCTATTTTTTTATTCAATAAAAAGCTTGTAGCTGCTGGACTTTGATTTTTCTGTTATTGGGAGGGGGGGAATTTTAATTGTTGCAAATCATTCTTCACACTTAAATAAAGACAAGCAAACAACTCCCAAAGGCCACTTTCAGAGCCACCATTTCTTAATCCTGTTTTGCACAAGACGAAGAGCAAAGAGTCCCTTCGTTTTTTTATGGCAAGTAAATAAAATAGGTGTTTTGAAATAGGTGCTTATTGCTCTAGGAAGCAAAGGAAAATGAGCTGTTTTTGTTTTCGTTGAGCAGACAGAAACTTCACCTTTTCATTTACCTTCCGGATAAATGTTGATCAGAGCCAAATCCTCAGAGTTGCGAAGCTGGCTCTTAAATGAACTTTTGGCCTATTTCAACCTCTGGTGCTTTCCCCCAGGGCTGTACAGCCAGTAAATATCCTGACAAGTAACAAATGACTGTAGGCGTCAGCCTGTAAGTTACTCTTGTCTTCCATGTGCTAACAAGTAAATAAATGTTGGTGCCTTGGCTTTCCATTATATTCAGCATCCCAGAGTGGTTGAGCTTCTTCCTCTTTGTCAATACACGTGGGCCAAAGGAGGAGATTCCCTTGGAAAAGAAAGTCCGTAATTACCCATTTATGAACTCTAGAAATGAAGGACACTCATGTCTCACGCAGAACCAAGAAGAAACGGGAAACTGGGTGGTGGAAAGGCATTGGAGTCCTCCAGAAGGCTATATAAATGGAGTGCCAATATCGTATATGTGATTGGAGAGAGAATCAGAACGCCCATTTATTTTTGTAGTTTCTTTCAGGAAATGAAAGACAAGGAGACCAACCTCTCAGAGAGATTTATCTTCATATAATATACTGTAGACAGAAGTGTCACTGAGGCTATCCTAATGATGTCTGTACACAATGAAATAAATGAGGGGTTCAAGGAAAGAAAATCAAGAAAGACATACCAAGTGAGAAAAATTGAAATTAAACCTCGGGAAGGATTAGAGTCTTTTACATTTTTTTATAAAAATGCATTTTATGAGAAAATATTTGCACTAGAAAATATGTATAATAAATTTATTTTGGGTCATTCCCTCAGTAACAAGAGTTAACTTCAGGTTTTGTAGTGTAGTCCGGTCTTTAAATCCCGACCAAATTAAGTTTCCTGCATTACAAATCACAAGCCTTTGGTTGGAAAATCTGTATCCCTGTTTCTTTCCTCATTATTTCCTAACCAAGGATTACTAAAAGCTTCAGGTGCAAAGTCTTTAAAGCCAGGGAAAACCTTGGGAAGCTTCTGCCCCCAGACCTGTGGATGCCATCAATGAGACCCTTGTCCAGCTCAAGAATTAGGAATAGTAACATCATCTGAATGCTACCAGGGGACTTCTCGAGAGAAGCAAGCCTTCCTCAGTGGGAAGGCTTGCTACCAGGGATGATGGCCCTGTCATTGGCAGAATGGAAGGGTCCAGGGAGAATTCTTTTCTTTTCTCCCTCTCCCTCTCCAGTCTCTTTGCAATATAAAACTAATGGCAAGTATCTATTTATCCTTCCCACCCCACCCTGCACCCTACTCCCTTTAGAAGCCTGGCCTCTTAAAAAGAGATGGCAAATTACTGCCATGGAGAAGTTATAAATATTTTTTTTTTCAATTTAAAGCCCAAATAAAAATCAGGACTGTTTATCAAATCCAGTCAATGCTTTCGAAGTTAAAGGGGTGGTGGGGAAGGAAGGTTTTAAAGAATTATTTGACTAAGGCTTTAAGAAACTCCAGGAAAAAATCAAAGAGTTCTTTTGAGTCCTGTTCCAGTTGGGGGAAGGTTTTTTAAAGGCTGGGAGAAGCAATCTGAAAGGCTAATCATTCGGTAAGGAAATTCTACCGGGGCTCTGGGTTCCATATTAAACCATAGCGAAAAAAGCAGGATAGGAATTGGAGGGAGGGAGGGGAATACAAGAAAGAGGATGAAAATGGTCAGCACTTGGTTTAAATCAACATCCTGAGTGCCATTTCCTGGTATAAAATCTTAATTCTGACTCAACAGGAAAATGCCTCAGTTTTGCAGGGAACAGAAGGTCCAGCAACACCATCCCTAGCCCCACGAACAAACTCTTCCTCGATTTGCAGATTTTCCATTTGTTGGTTTGCTTTTCCTAAATCCTTCAATCTTCTCCACCAATGGTTTGTCATCTGGCAAGGGATACTGGCAGTTGGGCATAGTTTAAGGAGAGAAAGGAAGGCATGCTCTTCCTGCTGCAATCATTTGGTTCACAGAATTATGAATATTAAAATTCATGCCACATAAACTAACTAGTTTGCATTAGTCCAGTTTAAAGTGCTAAATATAAAGCAGGCCTGGGCGCCTCGAATATGTTGTAATTACAATTCTCCTTTCAGAAATATAATCCAGGAAAGACCATTCAGCGTTGATTGATCTCTGGATCCAGAAAGTTCTCTCCTATCCACACCCCCCCCCCCCCCCTCCCTCTCCCTCTCACACACACACACACACACACACACACACACACGTCCGAGCAACTGGCTGCTGAACCGCCAGGTTTGCCTCCCTCTGGAGCCCAGTGGCCGCTCACCATCTGCTCCTGAATGGTGCTGATTTTCCCACCCTCCACCGTCACCTCCTCTTATGCCTTGCAAAATATCTTGTGTCCCAAGAATCTTGGGCGGCCACTGCATGCTTGCAAGTGAACAAAAAAAAGTCTATTTTCTGCTTAAGAAAGGTTTGTAACTGGTCCTTCATAAAGAGCTGTGGACACCTTCTAAAAAGGTTTTATAACGACTTTTTAAAAAGGAAATGTGGGTGCAAAGGTTCGTTCTGAAGGCAGGCAAGAACAGGCAGTTACGAATTTTATCTGAATTCAGATACTCTTCAGAGAAGAACACCCAAATTCCTTCTCACTAAATTTTCAAAATTTTTAAATATTAAATTACAAAGATTTAAATTAATTTTAAAGCTACATTATGTAGGGTTAATTATATGTGCCTTCAAAAACCAATACAATATTGGCAATTATGAATGGCAGAGCATCAATGAAGAGTATATGTTTAAGTATTAGTATCATCATTTGAATAATTTTCTAATTATTAACCATTTTAGAAGGGTTTGTGGAAGCTGTATTTCAAAATATCTGGACAGCCTTAAATGTTGATATGGTATCAAATGACAGTGCTGTCCTAAAGTAGAAGTTCATCTAGTTCTTATGGATATATTGCAATATATTTATTGGCTATTTGCTCTTCTTGTGACATCAACCTTATAATGAGGTAAGTCATATTTTACATCAGTTTCTCCCCTGGATCTGCAGCTTATCCAACCTGAGTGCTTTACATATGTGTGGATTTCAACTTTAAATCTCCTTAGCAATAACCATGCTTGTCGAAAAATACAGAACTTAAAGCATTCAAGTTGAGATGTTCCTATTGGGGAAGACTACACTACCAGGAAGAGCAGTAAGAACTAACTAAAAAGATAACTAAAGTAGTCCAGCCAAGGAAGATGGAGATATTCTTGATCTCTCTCCTCTTCTTTATGAGGCAATTTACTATTTTCTCATTTAATATGTGTAGAGTCTGACATGACCATGCCCCAATAAGGGTTTTTATAAATACATGTCCTTTGTCTCATGCACAGCCCATAGTTGAGGCAGCTTAAAATAGCCTTTTGCAATTCTTCTTTTAAAGGGGTGCTTTTCCTATTCTTCAACACAAGTTTTATAACCTACCAAGTTTCACAGATTATGTGGTTTATGATGCAGTCAGTGGTTAGGCACTTCAGGCTGCTGCTGCTGCATGCTCCTTCCATCTGGTTGCTGGACTGCATCTTCCATGGCATTTGGGATTCAGGAAATACTGGGCATCTGGCTTCCATAGAAACCTCTGCATGCATAATGCCTGACAGACATTTTCCAAAGATACTGTCAGTTGTTATGTGAGTCCTTATATACGTAGTGTTAGTGATTTTTTTCAAAGAGCCCACCACTCTGTTTTTAAACATGGGCTTTTCACTTTTAAAAAAGCACTAAACCTGTGTTTAAAAATAGTACTAGTGATCTCTTGAGAGAGTGCTACTTCTTTGTGCTCAGAAGATAAATTTAAACTGGGAAAAAGAATATGGGTTCTGCCAGCTATAT